AGTACTATTCAACACCTTAACATGCTCTGGTTGAGCAGTCCCAATCCAAACATCTGAAATCCAAAATTTTTCAAAATCTGAAACTTTTTATGCACCAGCCTAGTGCTACAAGTGGAAAATTCTATACCTGATTTCATGTGATGTGTCACAATCAAAATTCTGCAACACAAAAATTTTGCATAAAATTATCTTTAGGCTATCAGCATAAGGTAGGAATGGAACATAATGCATTTTGTGTCTCTATTTAGGTGTCATCCACAAGGTATCTAATTATGTATTCAAATATTCCAAAATCAAAAAAAATCCAAAACATTTCTGGTCCCAGGCATTTCAGATAAGGAATACTCAACCTACACATGAATCTGCATTAGTATCCACTTAATGACTTAACCTCCTGGAAACTCATTCTAGTTTGTGTGTCTACCAAAAAGTATTACCCAGTCTTGACTTTAAATTCTGTAACAGGAAACTAACGATATACTGATTTGTAAAGCATACTGTAGTGAAGATAGAGCTCCGCAGTCAATTACAAATGGCCACGATGAGATAGGAAGCCAAGCGCCATCATCCTTTTAAAAAAGAGATTAGCAAATATTTGAAACCAACTAAAGCTACAAAAAAGGGAAAATGTCTCAATAGCCACAAACGTGTCAATCAGCAATTTAAGAGGAGTGACTGTGAGCTTAGAAAGGTCACTTCAGGTGGTATATGACCTCTAGAGCAGTATATTAAAGAAAGTATTCAACAGAACTTGATATTTAATATAGAAATTATAGTATCTATTTTCCATTTATTTTGGCAATCTTGGAAAACTTACTGTAGCTTTCATTTTTTGCTATGTGAAACTTAAGAGGCATTTACAGACATTTTTGTCTACAGATGAATGGCTTATGATAGAACGATAAAGCGCTCAAAGTACTGAGGGAAAACTGTGAAGTCTAAGGGCTTGTTTTTACATTTCTAATGTTCATCCTACTCACATGTGTGTCACTTTCCTTGGGTAATCACTGGCAATGTGATGGATAGGCAAGACTCAGATTGCACTTTTCTTTTTTTAAATTTGTGATAGAGAATGTGTGCATGCACATGAGAAGTGAGAGACAGAGAGAGAGAGAAAGAGAAAGATGAGCACCCTCCACGAAGTCTGGTAGCACTGTGATTCCACTTCTGCAGTTCTCCACAGTTGTCAGATCCTGGATACTTGTGCATTGTGCCTGTTGTGATTCAGGCTGATTGGCCTGGTATTTGAACCATGGTTACCGGTGTGGGATCTGGTTTCTCTTGAGACGTGCCATTACCACTGTGCCATGGAGCCAGTCAACATATATTCTGATTGAACTACTTGCTGTGCAACCCTTGGAAAGTCACTCAACATTTCTGATGCTCATTTTTAAAATGGGAATAGCTAGGTTCAGCCATGGTGGCACAGGCAGGAGGGTGCTGCTTAGCAATGACTGAGGCCCCATGGGAGGCCCAGGTTTGAGTCCCGGCCCAACCTAAACAGGATGGGAGTGGCGGTGCATGCCTGTGCTCCTAGCTAATTGGGAGGCTTGAGAAGGACAGACTGCAGTGTGTCAAGATGGTCAAAATATCTGTCTCTGTCATTAAAAAAAAAAGAAGAAGAATATGGAAAGGGGAGAAAATGGCAATAATTACACTTCTGCTCCATGGTATTATTATAAGAATTAAATGAGATATGGCCCAGGTATGCATGGTCCTAAAAAAAAGTCTCAAAAGTTAGTTTGTTTTACATTTAAAACAAATCCTCTCTCCAACCCCGAGTGTCCTTTTAAGTACATCTATAAATCTGTATGATTTCCAGAAGTTACCTTTGTTTGGAAGCATGTGTCACTGACTTACTGGGTGCTGTTATACTGCTAATAAAAAGATCAAGACATTAAAAAGAGCATCCTTCCATCCTAATGGTCGGCTTCAGGAATCGTGGAGACTAATGGCCTATGTATAACCAAAGAAATAGT